GCTTTCATCCTAAACATAAAAAAGCAATTTGCTCTCACAGGCTGCACTGCACAGGCTACATCATTTGATTGCCCTTACCAGATATCAAAGAGAGAACCAGAGAACTACCTAACAACTGTGTAGTGACCCTGCAAAGTTCATTTCCGCAAGGTGAATTAGGCCTGTTTTCTAGGAGAGGCTAATAAGACACTGGACCCTAGATCTCACAGTTCAGATTTAGAATTAGAGAGGAAATATAAGCCTGCTCGTACATATTGGGTAGTCAAGGTCAAGGGGAGGGGTACAGAATCATTGGGAGCCAATAGCAGAGGAGCTAGCATTATGGACCATCTCCTGATGACACCTTACTGTAGGTCTAAAACACATAGAAAATATATCTTCAGTAGAGGCCAGTGAAACTGAGCTCAGGTTTTCAGAGTCAGATGGCTGTCATCCTTCCCACACTTACAGCCCAACTCCTACATGTTAATCCACAGAGGGATATAATATTCAGTACTAGAGCCTTATGCTATACAGCAGAAGAGCATGTCTGTGGCTCAAAAAGACTTCTGAGAGGAGAAAACACAGCAAATTCCAGAAGATTAACACTGTGGCAATGAAGGTGATAATAATGGTGACGGTGGTGGTGAAGGTGGAGGCGGCGACATGATCTACCTCCTAGGAAGCGAAATACTGAAGCATAAATAATAATGCTATTAAAACTCTTAATCTTCTCGCCTAATAATTGGTGACAACTAAGAGTTGGAATTAGTATTCCAATGAGACATAAAATTAAAGGAACTTTTCTGATCAGATACACTCAGTCCTTTTAAAACTCTTAGAAGCATATCGCAGCATGCAAGGTGTCAGAAGGGATGGATGAGGAGAGAAGGGAGGGATCTTTCTCCATTACTCTAGTTGTCTGACTTATTGGATAAGCAACAGGTTGGACATTCAAGGATAATAAAATTTAGTTGTGAGTCTGATGTCCTTCTAAGACTGAGTCACGATATTAGTTCAAATAGTCTTTGTTATCTTTGATTTCCTAATTGAAGAAGAACAAGGAGGAGGAAAGGGATGAGGGGGAGTGAGAGGAAGGGACAAGGAGGGGTGGAGGAGGAGAAGGAAGAGAATGATATGGGAAAGAAGTCCAGAACCCATATAAACTAAGGTGGAGGGAAGATTTCCCTAAATCTGATTTAGAAATCTGGTTCACTGATTCATTCAATACATAAATACATTGTCTATTAAGCACTTACTGTGCTTAAAGTCAATAAGTTAAGATGCTGGCGAGATTTTAGGCACTGATTTCCATATAGTTTGGTACGCTTCACTGATTTTCCCCGAAAGACAGGCTTTTCTCAACTTGCCAATTTTCCTTTAGTAAATGAACACATCTTGTGCACAACAAAAGGATGGGCAAGTACCCAGGAGTCTTGATCTTAGACAGTAGGCATCCAGGCTGATCAACACAGGCTGCTTTCAGCATGCGGGGAGGCTGAGACACCGGTGGACATCACTGCTCCCTTTGTGTCCTGTGCATAGTACACAGTGTAAAATAATGTCAGCAATTCTGACATTCTGCTCCCTGAAAAGAGAAATTCAGGCGCCTCCCTAAACGGTGACTCCATGTAGTCATGATTTCTTAAATCTCTGTTTATTGTGACACTCTGTTCTCAGTTTCTTTTTCTCTATCTCTGCATTCCCAGTACTAAACAAAGTACTTAGCATTAAAATAGGATACATGGGTACATGAACCTGATGATAGATTCTTTTGCATCTTTCATGGCCATAATTAATAATATTATGATCCATTTTATTCTTACTCCTTAATTCTCTAGGAATTCAGAAATAACAATATGACATTTCTACTTTCTCTTACTTAAAAAGTTGACATTCATTTCTAAGTGTTGGTGGTGTGGGTGGTGTGTGTGTGTGTGTGTGTGTGTGTGTGTGTGTGTGCGCGCGTGCCTGCATGTGTGCACGCACGCTGGTACCTGGTCGCCCTCATCTCTAAATAAGCAAAGCTATGACAACCAGAGTCAGAATCTGTTTAGCAGAATGAAAGGACTGGGGTGGTTAAGAAACCATAACTGCAGACACCATTACTCCCCTGCTCACCCCACAAATGTGGGCTGTTTATTGTGCAACGTGTCTTTACTGAGAAACCACTGTATAAATCCTGGATGCATGAAAAAAACTGCTGGTGATTCAACTCACCTCTGAGTCACTAATTAATCACAGATGGAGAACAGTTTCAGGGTGAGAGAAGAGACCCTTTAAACCAGCTTTCTGCAGCTTTTCACGCACAACAGTGGCAAAGCACAGTTCTGGCTCAGTGAGTTGGCTGATCAGTGAGATATATTCTTGGGCAGATTCTCTGCAAGATCCATAATAGATTCAGGGAAAGAAAAGATTTAATCTCTGCCAGAATAAATATCTGGTCCTTATCTAAGGCACCAGACGTTTGCCACTGTAATCGCTGTTTCAGAGAGATCTTCCTAATCCTGCCAGCACGCTGCCAATGCCAGTGGAGACCCTTACCCAGATGTTTCACTGTGTTTCCTACAGTGGTAAATGTGGCTGTGCTAGTCCTCAGATGTGGTCTCTTCATTCGTATAAAATTTCATTACTGCAACCACTTTGTCATTTGTCATGGGACCGCGGTGGCATTATAATCTGTGGCTAACTTCTTTGTCTTAGTTCATTATAAGCCTTGTGGCAAATACTCATATAGTTGCCCAGGTTTGAATCCATCACATTCAGCTGCCACGAAAATAAACTCTGCTGGTTCATGTGTCCAGAGAAGATGTGACAGATTAAAACATTGGCTTTGGAGTCAGTCCTGACTGACCTTGGGCAAGTTACTTAACTTTTCCAACCAAGTTACTTAACTGTTTCTTGATATTATATTATGGGGACCAGATACCTGCTTTACATACTTTATAGGGCTGTTGTAAGACTGAAATAATACGATTAATATGAGAGTACTTTATAAATAGTAAGACATTATACAGATATAAAAGATAAATGAGATTAGCAGAAGAAACCATCCAATCACTGACCATATATAACACTGATTACAAGATAAATGAATTGATACAATAGGATAAACGTGGGTTTTAACATAGCATGGTTCAAATAATACCTCCAGCTCTGAAAGCTGTAAGACCTTTAACTCTTGACTTTCCTGCTATTAAAGGGATATGTGGAGGAAGGGAAAGACTACCTCTGAAACTTGTGAGGAGTTCAGAAGAACACATGTGTGTGAAACTGAGCTGTGCATACTTTGGGACCTCAATAAATGCCAGTCATCTTTTCTCTTTCCTTCTCCTTATTAGCGTAGGCTAAAATAACAGCACAAGCTAAAAAGCTGTTGGTTTAGCTGCACTGTCGCCAAAAAATATTGTGGAAATAAACGTAAATTTTAGCAAACAAAACATTAAAAAAAACATTTGCAAGGGTGATTTCCTGTCCCAATTTGGTAGTTGCTCCCGCTTCATGTTCCTTGGTGCTTTTCACAAGCCTTTCCAAGACAAGCAAAGTGTAGCTGCAAAAGCGGCATGACTATAAATTTTAATAAGTCCATACCCCATCACTATTAAAGTTGCTACTGAGGCAATCACTTCAATCTATGCTCTTCCTCAATACTAAAAACAATGACGAGTAGTAAATCAGAAGACATTACCAAAGGATCCTCAAGTGCATTCAGGAAAAAATTGAATGGCGCAGAAAACCGCTGTCTTAAATAGCCAGCGAGTCATTGTTCATCAAAAATGACTGTTTACGAACCCACCTGGTTCCTCAAATTCGTCAGGTTCCAGTTTTATGATCCTCTATCAGCCACGTTACAGTTATTACTGTGGAGGTGACCCAAGAGATGCTACCAACAGAGGGGCCAGGTTTCAGGAGCAAAAATGCACAAGGGCAAGACATATCCTCAAGAATAAAGATCTCCCTGAAGGCAATCTCTTCATTCATTCCTGAGTGCCCCTGGGGACGGCAGAATGCACCATTCACGATTTTAGAAAACTGTAGCCGACAGAAACAGAACTGGGACTCTCAAATGCATGCCAGGGAGAGGTGCAAAGGAAGCACTCCTCAATATCTTAACTTCTAAGCTTCCCACAGAATTTGTGAGTTCAGTGCTAGGCAATAATACAAGGAGAACAACATGTATGTGATCCCTCTCGGGTCCAGACACTGCCAGCTCTGCCGTACCCATTTCTAAGTCGGGGTCATACTAAATAAAGTGACCAGTGGCACTGTTTTTCTCGTGCTGTTCACTTCATTGCGAGTGTGACACCGGCCTGACTTCTCCCACTTTCTCTCGATGACTGTATGGAGCAAATTCGTGGTAGTGTCTTCTTTGTCAGCCTATGTCACTGAGTTAGGATGGCAACAAGATAACTTGCGATGGACATGAAACATGAATGAGAAACACAGCTTGGTTGCTTGATGTCACCGAATATTTTAACTGTTTTGTTATTGAATCATAACCCAGACTTCCTTGATGGACAGAGTGGGTGATTGGCAAATATTCTGAATAATTTCCAAATTCTCATAATTACCGTTCATATAATTTTTATAGGTTAAAAAGATAGTCAAGGAATTGAGAATTTACCAACTACCTGGAGACATATTTAAGATTAGAATTCAGGTTTCTCTGACTTTAAAATCCATGGATTTTCCACCATGTTCTATTTCGGTCACATGTATTACATGTCGTAATTGAAATTATTTATATGATGGCATGTACATTATATATAATATACTTTATGTCTGCCTAACTTAATTGTGGGTATCTCAAAAATATGAATCCTAGCAGGTGCTGAGTAAATATTTATTAAATTTTTAGATAAGTGAATCAATAA